GATATATATATATATATATATACAAGTCAGAATTAGCTACATATTTTTCCTATACTTAACATAGCTTTTCCATTCCCTTAGCCCCTTGGTCTATAACCGGTTTCCTTACTCTTTTACAAATGCCACGACCCAAGGTTCCTTAAGCATACAAGTTCTGTTTTCACCACCTACTAGGTGTTTATGATATTTCCTTTAACAAACACTACCTAGCTCTCATATACATAAACTAAGTAAGTCATTTACATAGGCTGCCTACATGTGTTATAAATACATGCAAGTTCGGTTTTAAGAGTGATACTAAGTGTTTATATATATATATATATATATTTCTTCTTTAATAACACATGTTCTACAATCATAAGGGTGTGCTAATAATACCTTTAACATCCTGCCCATATTTTCTTAACCGCTGTAATCCTAATAAGGTTTTCCAATTTAGGGAACATTTCATCAACATAATATGGGGCTATTTCCAAGCTCACAATTTCGGTTGGTTCTTACATACACCAAGGTCAAAGGTCTTCTACGAAACAGAAAAAAAAAGGGAGAAATAACAAAACATAATTTTTCCTAGAGCACACTCAGAAACCGAACCAGTGAGGGGGAAAATAAGGGTATCATTTCAGATTTTTACCTCTAGCATGTTGTACCCAACTCACCCTCCTCTCGGCCCAAGAACATCACCCAACAAGAGACAGTCCTCTTCCAATTTCACTGTCCCAAGAACCAGAACAGGGAACACAACAAGAACAGCTTGCTCAGCCTTACATGCGCCGAAGATCAAAGAGCAAGGGAGTAAGGATTTCTCACTAGGCCTTGCATGTTTGGGGAGAATGGATCAGGGTCCGAAGGTGAGATCTTCCTTGAAAGGCGTTGGTCTTCATCTGCGTGCAGGGAGGGACATCATCACAGTCCCAAAACAGATTGTATAGGATCAACGGATGAGGGGAACACATTACCTCTCTTGGAGCTTTGATGCTCGGCTGGACCAGAAACAATATGAGAGTAGAGGCTTAGATGGTGAGGTTCTTCTTTCACGGTTTAGAGGAGTAGAGGAGTAAAGTATTTGCAAGCTTGGGTCTTGAGCCTTTCAGTCCTTTGATACCAATGGCTTGGACAACTAAGAGCAGGTGGGAGGAGTGATATGCCTAGGGGTTTCGTTCTGCATGCCCTCAACTCGACAGCTTTGTGGTTGGACAGACTCAAGAGGGCAGAGGTGACAAAGATTCACGTTTTCTTAACATGCATACACCAGCCGAACAGCAAGGAACAAGAAATTATCTTGGTGATTCACCTACATCTTTCTACTCAATGGTCCCTTGCCGAAATAGTGGTGGAGGAAGAATATGTTGAAGTGGTTTATCCTACTCTTATGAAATCACGGTTTGTGAGAGGAAGCAAGAAACAACAAACTTGCACGCTTACTGCTTTGTACAATCGAACAAGGGAAAGATAAAATGGTTTCGATGTTTGGTTCATTTTCTGGAAGATTATGGCTTGTGAGGGAGAGAGAGAATGAGCATATAGGGATGATCCTAATTCTGATTAAAAGGGACATGCATAATTCTATTGTTCTTCTTAGGGTGTCACGACTTGAAGAAAGGAGATGAGGGTCGAGTTTTGGGTCTTTGATTTACAAGATAATGTACACTCAAGGAGACTCCTACAATCAGCGCCTAAGGGAAAGGAGTAGAGGTAGCAAGCTGATTGATATGATGACAATGATTTGGATTCACTCTGCTGCTGCTCCCTTCCAGCGCATAATTACAGAGTAACAGAGTGCAGAATTTTTGACCAATAAAACCTCATGCATGCTGACCATAATATTTTCATTGGGATAAAACTTAATAATGCTAATTATGGTTATCTAAGGATGCAAGGAACCATGAGATATAGATGAGATAACAAGCCAATCAGGATTAAGTCATACGCATGAAGGGATAAGGGTATCATGATGAGGATGTTTTTCATGTAGGGATTTTAGACCAAAAGAAAAAGACCATAATATGTTATGATTAAATTAATCCCATCCTACTATTTAATATTTCATATAACTATAAAGATGCCAACTAAAGTTCTTTTATAAGCTATGACCAAATTATACCCCCTCTAATTAATCACTAAAGGTTTTGTTCAAGAAACTAAGATAAATCACGTACTTATTTTAATATTAAAAATTCAGAATTATTCCTTCTCATTCCTAATAGCATGCATGCTCACAAATTAAATTTCCTAACACTTATTCCCTTAAAGTTATAATTAACCAAATTTTCATGAATTAAAATTGAGTCCACCCTAAATAAATATATACATATATATATTTCGAATTCAACACAAGCTTTTAAGTTCCTAAGCAACATTTATATAATTTCCTAAATCTGCGGGATGTTACAACATGTTGTAGTTCCGTGACTAGATACACAGTTATTTATACTATGAGGTTATTCAGTGTAGTTATTTATTGCAATTTACATACAGACGATATTTGAAAAGGAATAAGTAATCCACTTGGTTAATAATGAATAGTTCATAATTGGAAAGAAAAAGTTAGTTTCCGTATTTATTTAGCTGCGCTATTACCATATGTATGTTTAATACACCGGGTGTACACGGGGTGTTACATAAACCACATACACGGCCAAAGTGGTCCAAAAACTTTTGCAACAACATCATTTGTTGAAATTTCAGTAGAATTAGTGCTCTAGTTTAATTCTTCATATACCTGGTTCTGTACATATAAACAATTCATGAATCTAACATGAACAAGTAAGATAGATATATAAATGATTAACAATATCATTGTGTAATTCTAGATGTTAAGTTAGAATTCATAACAAGTAAAGCAATTTCTATTAGTCCCTGAACTCAACATGTAGCCTGTTATTCTCCTTCAATCTATTTAAGTCTTTACTTATGTTTGTTATCCAGACTCTATACTTAATTACCTGAGTAAATGAATTGCATGTTGTAACAACTTTCTTTATTATCTCTCTCCCTAGGATTTCAAGTTATGTCAAAATGGACTATACTAGTTCTTTTTTGCGCGCTAGTTATATTACTTTGATATAATGAAGAAAGCTTGTATTAGGAACTCACCTGTGCTATTCTAATTTAGACAAGTTTTCGATATTAGCTTGACATCAATATTATTCTCTTATATTCTTTCTCTACTGGTCCATATACTGGTTTATGAATTCATGTCCAACGGCACCCTACGGGTCTGGATTTTTGGTATGGAAATGTTGGACTTTTTTGGTATTAAAACAATAAATTTGGTAAGATTTGCAGTTTCAAAATCAGCGATAAGCAAGGTTTATTCAAAGTCGAAAATGAAAGGGGAGTGAATTTAACAGAGAATGAAAAAACAAACAGGGATTCAAAGCATATCGAAAATAAATTTTTTTTGATAAGATTAGATTTGGTAATTGCAAGGACTATTTCACCAAGTGGAATATGAGTGACACAACTTACTGATCACTACACAATCAACACAACAAACATTTGGGGTGTACGATATCAGAAATGCAGCTCCCACCAATAAACAAAGAAATCCCCACTCCAGAATGCTAAATCGAAGCCAAACTTTGAATTTCCAGAAGCGATTAATGGTGAAAGCAAGATGCCATGATCTGGAAGGTAAATGAAAAAAGAGCGAAACTAACCACGTATCTGTTTTCCTCGAACCTTTCGCGGAGTCTTGAAGCCTGAAGAGGGAAATAAGCACAAAAAACGATCAGAGAAAATTTTAAAATTAGGGATATTGAATTGAAATGTGAGAGATCGAAAAAGGTAGAAGAGGTGACGATGTATAGCCTAGTTGAGAGTGTCTTTGAGGGGAGGTACATCGCTTGCATCAAGAGAACTTACCGGCGAGGAGCGATGACAAAAATGTGTGTGGTAAGTGAAAAATTTAATAAACATGATGAGAAATTGAAGTTAAGTGAGTTACCTAGGAGGTTTTGAAGTAGAGTGAGATGTTGTAGCGACTGATAGGAGAATGAGTCTAGTCTCAATAAAGTGTTGAGTAAGTGTTTGATAGTTCGCAACAAGAGAGAAAGACATTACAACGAACTTGCGGCTCAGAGGAGAGTGAGTGCTAGGCTTTCTAAAGAAGGAACAAAGAGTTCACAACAATTTTTAAAATAAATGCAAATATTTTTTTTTGAAAAAAAACTAAATTATTTTTAGAGATTGATAATATCCAGAAAGTAAATAGAAATTAAAAAAATATTATATATATATATATATAAAGCAATATAAAATAAAAAAATATAATAAATTGTGGAAGCTTAGAACCTGCTAAAAATTACATTATTTAGTGGAGGGTTTTTTCACCTACACTAAATAACCTCCATTAATAATCTTTTTTTTTTTTGTAGTAATTACTATAGCTGGGGATGTTATATCTAGATAACTTTTCTTTAGGTATTGAGAAGCCTAATTTTTTTTTCCAGGTATTATGAAATAAAGTTCACCTTTCTGTGTGTTAAGAATCCTAGTTTACTCATATGAGGAATTGAGATGCTTAGGCCACAAGCCTAATTCTTCTTTCTAGGTATTGTGATACAGTAGCATTGCCAGAAGAAGAAACAGTCAAAGAAACTGGCGACTTAAAGGAGCAGAATTCAGAAACAGAGGAAGTGGATGATACTGATCAAACAGAAGAACAAAGCATAGCTAGAAGAAAAGGGCACCGCGAAAGGAAAAGACCTTTGAGGTTTAGAGATGACGTGTAAGGTTGTTAGAAAAGTTAGTTGGGGGAAATGTTACGTGTAAACGAATAGGAGGGAAATAGTTAGTGGTGGGATACGTGGCTATACTTGTAATAGCTATAAAATAGGGAAATTGTAATTCATAAGACACTTTTGATGAATATACATGAAACTTCTTTCTTCTCATCTCTTGAATTTTTCTCTTCTGTCATTATCCTTCTCTTCTTCTCTAATTCTGTTATGGGTAGAGAATCACCTCTATCAATTGGTGCTTTCATCCTCTGAACTATGGCTCCTGAGACTCCCACTCGAACAGTGGAAGATCGCTGGGAACACACTCAAGCAGATGTAGAAATGCTGAAGGAACAGATGAACAAGCGTTTCCAAGAATTGTCATGCAAATTGGATGCAATCTTTGACAACTACAAAGAACGACAATCACCAAATCTTAGTTCTATTTCCAATATGCAATCCAATACACGCGATCATGCAGCAGCGAAGAACCTGAGATTGAAGGTCTCACGTTACGATGGATTGACAGATCCACAAGGATGGATCTACAAAATCAATCAGTTCTTTGACTTCTATGATATGGAAGAAGAGCAACGTTTGAAGATTTCTCCTTTCTATTTCGAAGGTAAAGCTTTACAATGGTATCAATGGTTCAACAAAAATTCCACTATCAATTCCTGGCCCAAATTCCTTAAATCTCTGCAAACCAAATTCGGTCCTTCAGAGTTGGAAGATTCGCAAGGTCAATTAACCAAACTGTTTCAAACAGGCACGGTGCTTGAATACCAGGAGCAATTCGAACACTTATCCACTCAGGTGGATGGTCTTTCTGAATCATTCCTAGTAAGTTGTTTCGTATCAGGCTTAAAACATGAAATTCAACATGATGTCTCTGCCTTTCGTCCTTCTTCCTTGTCACATGCAATGTCCCTAGCCAAACTACAGGAATCTAAGTTACACCTCAAGCATCACCCACCCAAATTACATTCTCCTTATCCTCCATTACTGCCCACACCCATACCACAACCGAGGTTTAACCACAACAACCATAATATCAAACCTACTATTCTAACTACTCACACCAGCCAAACCACCACCCCAACAAACCCCACAGTTACTCATAGACTCACTCACAGCCAAATTCAGGAAAGAAAGGATAAGAATCTCTGTTTTTATTGTGGTGAGAAATACTTTAGAGGCCACAAATGTAAACCTTCAGTACATGTGTTGATTGTGCCTGATGAAGACATTATTGATGATGAGTTGCTTCACAATTCTGAGTGCTTGGATGCTATATCCAGCTTCCCAACAAACACTACTGACATAATCACTCCACAGATCAGTATGCATGCTTTATCTGGGTTTGTAGTGCCTCAAACATTACGTTTTAAGGGCCTTATTGGGAAATCTGAGATGTTGCTTTTGGTTGATGGGGGCAGCACTCATAATTTTGTGCAACCAAGAGTAGTTGCTGAACTGCAATTACCTATCTTAAATGATCGCCAGTTTGATGTAATGGTGGGCAATGGTCAGGTACTTAAATGTGAAGGATTCTGCTCAGCTGTACCAGTACAAATTCAGCAGCATGTCTTTTTGATGGACTGTTATGTGTTACCAATACAAGGAGCAGACATTGTACTTGGAGTCCAATGGCTACAATTGCTAGGGCCTATTCTATTGGATTATCAAAAATTATCAATGGAGTTCTCTTGGGGTGGGGAATCAATAAAGCTACAGGGAGACCAACATACCACTTCCATCTCTTTCAATCAATTTCGAAAAATCCAACAACAAGGCCAGGTAGCTTCCTTATTTCAACTATCTGTTATTGATGCTAATCCTACTGTTGTTAGTGATGATAACCATCCAGCTGTGACCAAGTTACTCCAAGAGTTTGATGAACTCTTCCAAGAACCACAAAAGCTGCCTCCACATAGACAATTGGATCACCATATTCACTTACAACCTGAGACCACACCAGTAAACGTGAGGCCATACAGGTATCCTCATTTTCAGAAAGGAGAAATTGAAAGACAGGTCCAAATGATGCTAGATTCTGATTTCATTCGCACCAGCACAAGCCCATTTTCCTCTCCAGTCCTTTTGGTGAAAAAGAAGGATGGATCATGGAGATTTTTCATTGATTTTCGGGCTTTGAACAGCCTCACTATCAAGGACAAATTCCCTATACCCACAGCTGATGAATTAATGGATGAATTGGGTGGTTCCATAATCTTTTCCAAGCTGGATTTGAGAGCTGGATACCATCAAATCTGCATGAGTCCTGATGATGTGCACAAGACTGCTTTTAGAACTCACCAAGGCCACTATGAATTTTTAGTGATGCCCTTTGGTCTCACAAATGCTCCTTCTACCTTCCAAGCCACCATGAATGTCATTCTTCAACCCTTCCTCCGTAAGTTTGTGGTTGTGTTCTTCGATGATATACTCATTTACAGCTCCTCCAAGCTGTAGAGTGTCCAAGTGTACATTTGCTCAACCAGCCGTGCAGTACTTTGGACACATTGTCTCACATACAGGAGTGAGTATGGACACCAACAAGATTAAAGCTATGTTGGAGTGGCCAATTCCAAAAAACCTCAAACAGTTAAGAGGATTCCTTGGACTTACAGGATATTATCGAAGGTTTGTCTATCATTATGCTACCATTGCTGCACCTTTAACCGAATTGTTGAAGAGAGATGCTTCCAATTGGTCAGAATATGCTCAACATGCTTTCCTGCACTTAAAACAGGCCATGACTACAGCTCCTGTTTTAAAGTTACCAGACTTTTCCAAAGAATTTGTCATTGAGACTGATGCATCTGATGTTGGCATAGGTGCAGTCTTATTACAAGAGGAGCATCCTATTGCTTATTTTAGCAAGAAATTATCTCTTCGAATGCAAAGAGCTTCTACTTATGTGAGATAACTCTATGCTATCACCGAAGGTGTCAAAAAATGGAGACAATACTTACTAGGAAGGCAGTTTGTTATCCGCACAGACCAGAAGAGTTTGAGAGCTTTGCTTGATCAGGTAATTCAAACACCTGAACAACAATACTACATGGCTAAACTCTTGGGTTTTCAATATTTCATTGTGTATAAACCAGGCAAGGAGAATAGAGTGGCAGATGCCCTCTCTCGAGTTCCCACTGTCTTTTGTTTCATTTCCCTTTCTAGTGTCCAGTTTGACATTCTAGAGAAACTAAAGGCAGAAAATATGCACTCATCTTTTTTCCAACAATGGTATACTGACTTGACTGCAAATCCAGAAGAACATGCTGACATGGAGATCAGAAATGGTCTTTTATTACAAAGAGGCAAGTTGTTTCTAGATCCATTATCTCCTTTGATTCCTACAATTCTACATGAATGTCATGCTACATTGTCTAGTGGACATACTGGAATTCAGAAAACTATTGCTCGAGTCAATAGTAGTTTCACTTGGCAAGGTTTACAAAAAACAGTTACTAATTTTGTTAAATCTTGTGTGGTTTGTCAACAAGTGAAATATTCTACACAGGCTCCAGCTGGTCTACTTTGGCCAATTCTCCAAAGAGAATTTGGGAAGACCTCACCATGGACTTCATTATTGGACTGCCCTTATCCCATGGTTATACCACAATCTTAGTGGTTGTTGATAGACTATCAAAGCAAGCCCATTTCGGCTGTCTTCCAAAAAATTCACAGCTCCTAAAGTAGCTGCCCTTTTCTCTACATTGGTATGCAGGTTACATGGCTTACCAAGGTCTCTTATTACAGATAGAGATCCTATTTTCCTAAGTCGTTTCTGGGTGGAATTGTTTGAACTCAGTGGCACAGCATTAAAACGCACAACTGCATACCACCCTCAATCAGATGGACAATCTGAGGTTGTGAACCGAGTCTTAGAACAGTATTTGAGGTGCTTTGTGGCTGAGTTCCCTAAGCAATGGTCTAAGATTCTACATTGGGCTGAACTTTGTTACAACTACTTTTCATAGTTCAACTGGGATGATACCTTTTAAAGTGGTATTTGGCAGAGATCCACCTTCCATTTTGGATTATATTCCTTCCTCTACTGTTTCAGCAGATGTGGATCGCGTGTTGCAAGACAGACAAGTCATTTTACAACAATTGAAAACAAATTTGCAGAAAGCTCAAGCTACTATGAAGAAGAATGCTGACAAACATCGCAGAGAGGTGACTTTTGATTTTAGTGATTTAGTTTGGGTTCATCTCCAACCATATCGACAACATTCTGTAGCGGATCGTATGTCTCATAAACTATCTTATAGATACTTTGGTCCTTTTGCTATACTTAAGAAAATTGGATCAATGGCTTACCAATTGGATTTACCAACCTCAGCAAAAATCCATAACACTTTTCATGTCTCACTGCTCAAGCCATTTCGAGGAGAACAACATATTCCTCCTTTACCTCCGCCTGACACATTTCTTGGTGGTCTACCAGTATTGGAACCAAAACGAGTTATAGCACTTCGAATTCTGCAACTCAAGGATCAACATATACAACAAGTCCAAATTGAGTGGGATGGATGCCTCAGGACATCATCACTTGGGAGAATGTAGTTGAATTTCAACAACAGTATCCATCTTTCAACCTCGAGGACAAGGTTGATTTTAATGGAGGAGGTATTGATACAGTAGCATTGCCAGAAGAAGAAACAGTCAAAGAAACTGGCGACTTAAAGGAGCGAAATTCAGAAGCAGAGGAAATGGATGATACTGATCAAACAGAAGAACAAAGCATAGCTAGAAGAAAAGGGCATCGCGAAAGGAAAAGACCTTTGAGGTTTAGAGATGACGTGTAAGGTTGTTAGAAAAGTTAGTTGGGGGAAATGTTACGTGTAAACGAAATAGGAGGGAAATAGTTAGTGGTGGGATACGTGGCTATACTTGTAATAGCTATAAAATAGGGAAATTGTAATTCATAAGACACTTTTGATGAATATACATGAAACTTCTTTCTTCTCATCTCTTGAATTTCTCTCTTCTGTCATTATCCTTCTCTTCTTCTCTAATTCTGTTCTGGGTAGAGAATCACCTCTATCATATTGGGAATACTAGTTCTCTCATTCTAAGTATTAAGCAGTCTAGTCTTTTACTTTTAGGTAAATAAATTGGTAATAATTCTTTTAATATTTTATTTTTAAGAAAATTCGATTGCATTTTGCCATAATACCCGTCGTGATAGTGATCTTCTTCCTTTTGACATAGCAATCACTAAAGTTCAAATCTAGGTAACAATTTTATTTTATTTTTTGGAAGTCGGTAACAAGTTTTGTTTCCTGAATAACTCCGTTGATACCAATCTACAAAATTGAAATCACGTTAAGAAATTGTACTTCTAATAATTTACAAAGCCAGACCTCTCCCACATAAATAATTCCTCTACAAAATTACATACCTTACGAGCAAAACAAGATAGATTCCCTGTGGGAGTGAAAATCATTTTGGACGGACTGAATAAATGCACATGGAGGAGGGACAATCCTCACATGTTAGAAACATGGGCCTTCGTTGCTATGCTTCTTGAATTCAAACTTCAAAGCAACCCCACTTTGGTGTCTTATGATGCTTCCACTCACATGCTTGTCCTTATCCTCTTTGCCTAGCTATTTCCATTTTTTTTAAGGGGCTTTTGTATAAGAGAAAATTTTTTCTACTGGGAACAAAATTTTGCTGGAATGTGATAGGAAATATTTTTTTCAGGTAAGTTACAAAAATTGTTTGATTTACCCAAATTTGTTTCGAAAATATTTGATTAAATTTACTGAGTTATGTTTAGTTGATTATGAAATAGTAGTAGGAATGTGAGGTTATTTTTTACAAAAAAAAAAAAAAAATAACCCCACCTTCACTTTTTCGATCATTATTTTTTTTTTCCAACCTCCCCCCTCCTCTCTAGCCTTCGTTGGCGGTGTTAGTGGGATTATCTGGGAAGTTTTATAATAAAATTGATTAGTTTTTCACCATTTAATTTTTTACCTTCTGACAGGATGCCACCAAAGGCTACTTGAAGTTTCTGCTTCACACTGTGGCATCGGGTGACAGGAGCATGAACAACCAAAACCCCCGATTTATTTGCAGAGGTTGACCGTAATATGCAAAACGAATTTGGAAGCCACATACAAGAAAGAGAAATAGGTATAAACAAGGTAACGGGAAAGCTTGGACTGCAGATCGTCCTCCTCAGCTAGCTACGACCACCTAGACGGAGGGAGCAATCCTTCACAAACCTGTACACTGACAAAGCTTCTTCACAAATGTGAGGGTTAATTTGGTCCTCAATTTGGTGGTTGATTTGTCACTTTCCCGGATAAACAAAAATTCCAACAAATCTTTGGCAATGTTTTGGTGGTGTCCGTACCAAAATTTGCAAAGAGAACGAAATCCGTCAAACAAGAGTGCCTAGGATATTTTTAGTTTTTTGTGTACCAAACATAACTCTATAAACCCCAAGTGAGCTTTCTCATGCTTTTAAAAAAAATCTGAGTACCAAACACTCCCTTAATGAGTTGTTCATAGCCCCAAATGGGCCAGGCCCTTTGCAGTTTGCACTGTGTACATTTTGTTTGTCCCGATAAAAGCAAGGACCATTCAATTTACTTTCAAAAGAGTCCTTCTATAACGGAAATAGTTCCTCAAATTCACATGGGTGACATGGTAAATTCAAATACAGTGGGCTTATTGTATATGAATAAGTCCTAAACCTGTGACCCACTTTGTTCTCTAGTTATCCCAATAATACAGGCAACTCCATGATTAGAATTTACTCAAGAACACAACCTAAAATGTAATTGATGGCTTGTCCTCCAAGCTGGGCCCGTAACTACAAATGGGATTTGGATAAGCTTAACTTTTTGATCTAATAACCAGTGTTTATGAGATGTCATCAACTTATCAAGGAGACCGATATGATAGATTATTCTCAGTTTCTCACAATAATGCTTAGTCATTATCCCTAGCCAAATGAAACATTATTTAATTAAATCTGTCTTCCTAGCGAATCTCGAAGAAACAAATCCTTGCAAGAAGATTATTATGATCAAGAACAAAATGGACTAAACCATTCACATGGCTGAATTCTCTCAACATGTAGTACGAATTTGCGGTGGAACTCTATGGAAAGTGCTACTTGTTGAACTCCCTTAATTTATATTAAAATTTTCAAACCATTTGAGGATGTGCATTATTTTTTAAATTATCCTTTCGCAATATTCAATGGTGGGGTTAGGCTTGTAATTGTTGTGTCTCGGAGACTAGCAGTCTTCAGCATGACCTTCTTCAGGTCGGCTTGCATAAGCGGCATTGAACAATAAATGTAAAACAAATTAAAAACAGAGATAAGGACGAAGAGAACACCAAAAATTTTAACGTGAAAAACTCTTTCATGTGAAGAGTAAAAATTACAGGACCAAGTCCAAAAAAACATCCATTATGAATAATGAGATTACAAGATTTAGTAT